TTAACTGCTGTTGAGAAGGTGGTGGTGAGCAACTGCCTTGAATGGCTGCTATCCTTGGGATGTAATGACATCCATAGTACTATTAGGAGGTGAATTCCAGGATTTTGACACGGTGACAGTGACATAATAGCAATTGAGTTCCAAGTCAGGATAGTATATGGCTTTGAGGGAAATCTTGCAGGTGGTGGTGTTCCTATGTATCTGCTGCCCTTGTCCTTTGAGGTAGTAGAGGTTTCAGGTTTACAAGTGCTATTGAAGGAGCCTTTGCGTTGTTGCAGTTCATCTTGTAGATGGTACACACTGTTGCCACTGGACATCAGTGATGAAGGGAGTGAATGACGAAAGTGATGGGTGGTGCCAGTGTAGTAGGCTCTTTGTCCTAGATGGTGTCAAGCTTCTTGTGCATCCAGGCAAGTGGAGAGTCCATTATGTTCCTGACTTGTGCCTACCAGATGGTGCACAGGCTTTGAGGAGTTGGGAGGTGAATTGCATGTCACTTCCAAGCCTGGTTCTGGAATACACTGCTAGGAAGTGTGTTGGAGACAGGTTCAATTGAGGCATTCAAGAGGGCATTAGATGATGGCATGCAGGATTATGAGTAAAGGCAGGAAACTGGCATGAAGCTAAAATCTTCAGAGAACTAGTGCAAATGGAATGGGCCAAATGGCCTCCTCCTTCATTGTAATGATTTGCATGTGACTCCATACTCTCATCAATATGGTTGACACTTCATACGGCCCAGGGAGCCACTCAGTTGTATCAATTGCTGCAAAGTCTAAAAACCAGTGTATTTAAAGTGGACAGACATTCAGGCATTAACTGAGGCACTGGAAAGGACAACAGCAAAACTAACCCCAGTGATCCCACAAAATCCTCCTTACCAACATCTAGGGGTTTGCACCAAAACTTGAAGAACCATCTCACAGACTAGCCATGACATTGACAGTCTGTAGAAATAGTCATAGCTTATAGACAAAGCTTCAGACTCTATCATCTCTACCTGTGCTGTCTATTGAATACTTGAGGCATTCTGGGCCATCACCAGAATAGAATTTAACCACAACATGGCCTGATGTCTCTTCCCCTTTACCGTTACCGTCCAGCCATAGTTCAGTGAAGTATGCAGAAGGAAGTGCCTGGAGCTGTTCCTGGCATGACTGAAAATCAAGTGTCAACCTGGTGAACACATTCTCCCTCTGAAGAACAGGAATACCTATTAGGAACCCACCATACATATACAATACCCAAGACTCAACCAGGAAAATGGTTTGAGGTTGTGGTGCATAGAAGCTGTACTGTGCTGTAACTGTGCCCTGATGAGCAGAATCTCCATTGTCATCCATCTGGGGAGACATGGCTACTTCTGGCACATACTCTAATTGCAGGTCATTATTTGCCTTTTAGCAGAACTGTTTCAAATATCTCATGTGTAAAGTTAAGCTTCAATTCAATGAAAAAGAACAAGCTTGACTATGGAAATTAATCTTTTGAAGATTATAAATAATTTTAGAGAAGTAGCCAAAATTATAACCCATTACTTGATGATTATGAGTAGAAACAAAAATCAACATCTGTTGTATACATTATTCTTTTGATTCAAATGTTAAAATCAGATACTAATGACCTAAAACCAACTCAATGTGGAATTTCTCATTTAGCAGTACTGATTATTTTTGAGATATACATGGCTATTACTTTTGTATATGTAAGCTTCATCAGATTTTCTGCATACCTGAGCCAAATTGTACCTTTTTATTTGGTTTAAATACATTACACTGACAGGTAAAGTTTTGTTGAGCAGTATGTAACGTAGTTTTATCTTTCAGATTGTTTGTCAAGCCTGCTCAGTAAACAAATTTAATCTGGATTACCTTAAAAAGCGACCCGCAAGAGTTTGTGATCTCTGCTTCTTGGAATTGCAAAAGAGAGGTAAAGAAAATATTAATGTTAGAAATGTAGATGCTCTGGAAATGTACTTACATCTTGCATAACCACTCCTCCAAACTATGTTGACCCATGTAGAGCCAGGAAAGAAATTATAGAAGAGCGCAATGTTTCTACTGTATGTGTATACATACATGTGGATATCAATTCATCTGACAGTTAATTCAATGTATAATTCCTTTGATTATTCCTGATTGATTTAAACAATATTTATCTTCTGATCGTCTAAGGGAGTAGATTATCATTGTTACCAGAAATGAAAAGATTAATCACTTACCTCAACTCTCTGCTTGATATTTGTTTTTTCTTCGCACCACTCCATCTGTAACCTCTATTTCTCATCACTGAATGCTGCTCTAGTCAAATCCCTAGTGACTGTCTTGAGTGTAATAATTGGATTTTATTTTCCTTGACCTTTAGAAGCATTTAACACTGTTGACAGCCCAAGCACACTTGCCTGACTAAAACCAGTGTACTTGTCTGTCTCCATGTCACCAACATATTTCTAATGATACTGCTCCTCATTAACCTCCACTATGATCACTGCAGTACTCCAAAGGGGCAAAGGAAAATGCAGTCCACCAACAACATTATTCAGAAGCACTGGTGAATTTTCTGCATCGATGTGATAATACTTGGCTGTATCTCTCCCCAGCATACTTAACTTCTTCACAACCTCTGTTGTCAGACTGCTTGTTCAGCATCATGTAACAGGTGATGAATAACTATTATTGATATGGCCAAAACCATTATTTGACTTCTGGCAAAACACTTAAAACTCCATTCATCTGACTCCACTCTCCTATCTGCAGTTAATTTACGCAGAATCAGATGGCTTGGATGACCTGTTGAATTTGAGTCAAGCTTCAAACCCCATATGCTATCTGTTATCAAGATTGCTTACTTAATCCTTGCTTAACGCTGTCTTTACCTCACCTCCACTGCAGCACAAACTCATTCATGCCATTATTGCCTCCAGACCCTGTCCTTTGTCTTTCTTGATCGTGTTGTGTAGTTGATTCCATGCAAAATTCCTATTTGTTCAAAATTGCAGTTCACGTTCATTAATTTCTCCATGACCCCACCCAGCCTTTTGGTTGCAACTTCTTTCAGCCTTGCATGGCACCTGATGTGCTTCAGCTGGTAGATTCTTAAGTTTTGTGGATCCTGCCCACTTCAGTATGAGTGACAGACTCTTCAACCATTATTGCCAACCTTTATAGACCTTTTGCCCTAAATCCAAATCTTTAAAATTAATTCATTGAGGATGTGGTCTTTGCTATTAATACTGGTATTTATTCCTAATTGCCCTTGAACTGCTGCAGTCACTACAATTAGCTATACCCACAGAGCTTTTGGAAAGGAAATTCCAGGATTTTGAACGAGTGACTGTGAAGAGGTTTTGCATTTCCAAGTTAGAGTGATGAGAGACAAGGAGAGAAAATTGCAGGTGGTGGTGCTTCTGTGCACTGGCTCTTGTTCTTCATGGTCAGGGCTCCCCAAATTGTGGGGCGTGACCCCTAGTGGAGATGAAGGCCAAAGTTTTGGGGTCATGAACTCCAAGGCAATGGCTGCGTGGAGTTGTGATCATCTCTCAACAATAGTGAGGCCCCTTTAAAGGACACCATTTTTTAAAATACTGGGTGTGTCCTAACTGCCTGTTTTTGTATCCTGAATCTTGTCCTGTCCTATGCTCTTTATTTAAAAAGCTTAAAGCTTTTCTCCTTTCTCCCCTCACAGGTTTCTCATTTCTTCACTCCTTTTCATTTCCTCCAAGTTTCTCAAGCCTGGGGTCCTATGCCCCATTTGCTCTCACAAGCATGTTCCCTTTTCCCCCTCAAGACATCCTCCTCTATTTCGGTGAGATCAAGCGCAGAATCGGGGACTGATTCATGGACCATCTGTGCTCTGTACCCTGTAATCAACAACATCTTCTAGTTGTTAACCATTTTAACTCCCCCTCCCATTCCCTTGATGACATGTCCATCCTGGGCCTCCTCCAATGCCACAATAACGCCACACACAAACTAGAGGAGCAACACCTCATATTCCACCTCAGGAGCTGACAGTCTGATGGCCTGAACACAGAATTGAACAGTTTCAAAATCTCCCCAGCCCCGGCCTCGTCCCACGCCCAACCCTCCCTCTCATCCTCGCCTCCTTGACCCGACACAACCTGTCCGTCGTCTTCCCCATCTATCTGCACCACCCTTCCCACTAACCAATCCCTACTACCCCCTACCTGCATCCACCTCTCACCATCGCACCTCCCTTCCCCCAGCCACACCCCTCCTCCCTCTCGCCTCCTTGACCTGACACAACCTGTCCATCTTCCTCCCTACCTATCCGCCCCACCTCTCCCACTGACCAATCCCCACTATTCCCTACCTGCATCCACTTATCACCATCCCATCTACCTTTCCCCAGCCCCACTCCTTTCCCTCCATTGATTTCCCAGCTCCCTCCACCACCCTGTTCTGATGAAGGGTCCCAGCCGGAAACGTTGACTTTGCTATTCCTCTGCTGCCTGACCTGCTGTGTTCCTCTAGCTCCACGCTGTATTGATTCTCCCTTCTTCCCCACCCACCTGTTCTCACAGATCATGGGTCTTGGCAACTTTGGAGCACCAAGACGAGGTCATAAAATATTGATATATCTGGTTCAGTTAGGTTTCTGTTCATTGATAAACCCAGAGTGTTGTTGATGGAGGAATTGGTGATGTTAGTGCCATTAGATGTCAAGAACCTGTAGTTCTTGAAGATGATTATTGCCTATCATTTGTGTGTGGTACAAATGCTGCATGCCACCTATCAGCCCAAAAATGAATGTTGTCTGTCTCTTACTGAATGCAGAAACAGACTTTTTGTGCCTTGCTATTTCTCTTTGCATTTGGCAACCTCAAAAACTTTGTTTTCAAGCCACCTTTTACCATTGCTGGTCAAACTACTGCATAACCTGAGATGTTTACATTAATGCCATGACATAAATACAAGTAATTGCTGCACACCACTAAAATGACAATTTAAATCAATTATAATGGTGGAATAGAAAGTATGCAATCTTAAACAACTGGCACAATGTTATACTGCTCATATATTCATCCTTAAGAGAATCTGGGAAAGCTTAGCATTGTTCCCCATGTGGATACTTGTTACTTTTTTGGGTTGATTTTCTTTTTGTTCAAGAAATTGAGAAATATTTATTTTAAGTGTTTTTAAAGAAGATTTCACATTCATATTTTGGAGGTGCTTTTGATATATTCATAATGAAAGCTTGTCTTCCCATTGTGAGCTTTGAAAGGTATTGTTTTGATTGTCCAAAATGATTTATCTTGGTGTCAGTAACTTTCTGATGCACTCAGGAAAACCTAGCAGTATTCTTTTCTCAAAGCTTTTAATTTCAGAAAGTGAAGAGAACATCAAAGCGTCATTCCTGGTATTTACCTCAAGGGTATTCTTGGTATTTTAGCTGAGATAAAGTTCTAGTCACCTATTTGACCATGGGAACGTCCCAGTAGAACTCAATTCTGTCTTTACCTACAAACTACATGCTCACAGATATGTTTCCCAGTGGAAACAGTGGGATTCTTTTTTTATAAGTAGGTCCTTTGTGATTTTTTTAAAAATTCTCTCCTATTCAACTGAGTTCAGCACAGACCAGGGGTCTGTGACATTCCTGGACTTTTTGGCTCATTACAGTACCTGCAGACATGCTGCAATCAACCACTCCTCAAGGCTTCTCAAGTCTATTCCTCTATTTAATAAGGATCGTGGCGACACTGCTAATATTCACTTTCCTGCATTTTCCCCATAACCTTTGATTTCCCCTACTGATCAAGAATTTATCTAACTCAGCCTTAAATATCTACAAGGACTCTGCCCCCGCAGCTCATTGTGGCAAGGAATTCCAAAGACTCTAAACCCTCAATTCAGTTTTAAATTGGTGCCCCTTTGTCTGAGACTATGCTGTCTGGTCCTAGACTCTCACATGAGAGGAAATATCCTCTCAGCATTTACCCTGTCAAGCCCTTTAAGAATCTGATATGTTTCAATGAGATTACCTCTCATTCTTTTAAACGCGAGTGGAGTCCCAACGTGTTAGCCTTTGCTTATAAGATAAACCCTCCTTTTCGGGGATCATCCTCACGAACCTTCTCTAAACTGCCTCAATGAAATAATATCTTTCCTTAAATAAGAGGACCAAATCTGCTCTCAATACAAAAGATGTGGTCTCACCAGTACCTTGTACAGTTGCAGTAAGACTCCCCTACTCCTATACTCCAATCCCTTGAAATAAGGGCCAACATTCCATTAGCCTTCCTGATTTCCTGCTGCACCTGTGTACTAACTTAGTTTCATTACTAACTTTGTGTTTCGTGCACTAGTACCCCCAAATCCTTTTGAATTGGCAGCTTTCTGCAGTTTTTCTCTGACATAGCAAGAACTGCAGATGCTGGAGTCAGAAATAACACAGTGTGGAATAGGAGGAACGCAGCAGGCCAGGCAGTATCAGAGGAGCAGGAAAGTTGACATTTCGGGTCAGGACCCTTCAGAAATTTTCTCTAATTTATTTTAAGTAGAATCTGTTCTTTTGTTCTCCCTTCGAAAATGAAGAACTTCATATTTTCCCCACATTATACTCCATTTGCCAACTTTTTGCCCTGTGGAATCTCACTGGTCATGGGTCACTAACCTGAGAAAGAACCCTTTATCCCCACTTGCTGTTTCCTGGGCACTAGCCAATTCTCTACCCACATCAATATACTATCTGCAACAACATAAGCATTTCTGGACGTCCAAATACAACACATCTACTGGTTCCTCTCTAACTATTCTGGTTGAGACTTCCTCAAAAACTAATAAATGAGTCAGACACAATTTTTGTTTCATGAATCCACATTAATTCTGCATGATTAGATTAAGATTTTCCAAATAATTGATTCCAATACTTTTCCAACAATACACGTTAGGGTAATTGGCCTATATTTACCTGCTTTTTGCCTCCCTTTCTTTTTGAATAGAGGTGTCATTTTGGCAGTTTTCCATTTCTTTGGAAATTCTCCAGAACCCAAATGATCAGCAGTTCCACCTTCTCCCATCTCTCCTCCAACCCCAAATACAACTATGGAAACCAAATAGAAATTGCAAGAAGTTAAATTTGCCCTTTTTTAAAATCTTATATTAGATTTTAATATTAATTTTAACATAAACCTATTTACTTACTGTTAATTAGAAGTACAGTCACCTGATCCAAAGATGCTGTCTCCAACTCACAAATCGTCAAGCGCCCTTACCTCAGTTTTTCACAGTATTCAGCATTCTTCAGGACGGAAGCACAAGAAAATTCCAGCAGCACTGAAAGAAGTAAGTGGGGCAAACAGCTTCAACTGATAGTCATCAGACTATTCTTGTTGCAACAAGTGAAAGATACAACTTGAATATTAAATGCTTTTAATGCCTTTGGTGCTGTCTTGCTCATGAAGAAAGTGACTTCCCACAGTTGCATGACTGTAGAATAGGCAGTGGCAAAGCTCATGATATGTATATTTTGGTATATGGAGGGGGTATTAACTTGCTGTCATGTTAAGGGTTTTACTAATTTGGAAAAACTAACAGACCGTTGGTTGTTTTCAATTGGCAGAAAATAGAAACAACAACAGACTGTCATTTATGCAAAGTGTTTGTGCTTTGCACCAATACCAGATAAATTGATGAAAAATGAACTCTTACTGATGATTATGTATAAATTAATGTAGGTTGAAAATGATGTACGACATTTCTGCTGCCAGTAGCAAGAATATGTTGACTTGGAAACATTACATGATCAAAATTGAAGTCTACTTTTCTAGTGGATTTCAAGCTCTATTGGACTCAGTACCGGGTTTTATTGCAGTTCTTCAAATCTGCTTATTAAATGTAAAATGGTATTTGCATTCTTTACCTCCCTAAACCCTGTTTTGATGCCACTCAGTAACGTGCTCTTGGCGGATGTACAAATTTAAGTATTTCTCCTTCTGTTTCACTGATAGTAAGGTCAGGCTGCCACTTTGTTTCCAGAAATTAGGTCACCAGAGCAGGAAAATGTTGCCCAACCCTGATTGATTTTTGGATTTGAGGGAAAACAGATGAAGTCCAAAAATACAGTTACTATTTTGTGCAAGTTGCTATTATGTTTAACTTTTTTTATTGTGTCACTGATATTTATTGTTGAAATACTCCAATTACTGTAACAGAAACTATTTATTTAGCATTTTTTGTGTGGAAAGAAATTGCTATTGTAAACAATTTTAACTTGTCTAGTGCCTTTAAGATAATAAAAATCCTGAGGTCACAGGCGTGTAAAGAAACAAACTTAACACAAACTACATAAAGCATTAAGGAAAAAGTGGCTGGATGAAACATCTTACGGAGGAAAAACAGTGTAGAGGCAGAAAGATTTATGAGGATTTTCCCAAGCTTAGGATCTTCACAGCCACTGATGGTAAAGCAAGTAAAATTGGAGATGCTGAAGAGGAATGAATTAGATGAACACGAATACCTCAGAGTGTTATCAGACTAAAAGCAGGGTGGAAAAGCTATGAGGGACTTGGAGAAAAAAGGTGAGAATTTTAAAATGGACACATGCTTTACTGAGAGTCATAAGCAGAGGCAGCATCATTTTGAATGACCTTCAGTCTACAAGGTGTAAGGTGGAGGCCATCCAGGACACTTTAGGACGATTGTGTCTAATCCAGGATTGGACTGCAGTAGTCGAGTTAGAAGTATCAAAAACACAGATGAGGGTTTCAGCAGCAAGTGAGCTGAGTGGACAAATTCAAATAATATTCTGAAGATGAAAATGGGCAGTTTTCATGATGGCCCTGGATGACAAATGTGATAAATGGCAAGACAAGACAGAAAAGAAGTGTATGACAGATATCAGATATAAAGGGAATCCAAAAGTCTTCTATAAGCAAAAAGAAATGTTCGAGGGGGCAATTATAAACAAAGAGGGGGATTTATGCATGAAGGCAAAGGGCATAGCTGAGGTACCATATGACTTCTTTGCATCTACCTTTACCAAGAAAATGCTACAGAAATGAACTGGAGTATTGTATCAAATTCTGACCACCACAGTTTAGAAACAGTATGAAGACTTTAGAGATGGTGCAGGAAAGATTCACGCCAATAGTTCTGGGGTTAAAGACACCAGTTTGAGGATAAGTTAGAGCTGCTCTCTCTTACAGGAGAAGGTTGAAAGAAGATTTGACAGATGAAAACCATGATGGATGTAGACGGAGTAGATAGAGGGAAACCAAAGAATAAACAGAGCAACAGGAAAATGTTTTCATGCAGTGAACGTCTGTGATCTCAAATGCACTGCCTGTGTGCTTTGTGGACAGTTTCAAATATGGATTTAAAAGGGAATTGGCTAAGATTTAGGGATAGGAAAAGGGGAGTGCAGCCAGCTGAGTTGCTGTTACAGCAAGCCAACACAAATGAATTCTTTCTGTGCTGTAACTATTCTATGATTCTGTGACCAGCAGTGTGACTGTGTTCAAGATAGTAAAACGTCTGGTTTAGCATCAGACAGTTGTTGTGGAGAGGGTTGCAGTCAGAAGCCAGGGAGTATAATTTGTGCCAGGGACCAAAGATAATGACTTCAGTCTTCTCAGTATTCAATTAGAGGAAATTTCTGCTTATCTATTGTCTGTGTCAGATATGCAGTCTGGCAATTTAATGACCATGGAGTAATGGAGAAAGGTGGTAGTGAAGTTGAGCAGCATGTTGTCAATGTACAAGATTAAAGCTAGCGCTAGTTTCGATGATATCACATGGAAGCAGCACATGTAGCATGACTCCATAAACAGAAATTAATTTAAATACCAACGATAGCCATCAGCATTGATGAATGAGGAATGCCATGTTACATTTCTTCCAATAGTGCCATAACATCTTTAACATTCACATGATTCATGTAAATGTCAATTCTGAGAGTGCAGCAATGCCAGTGCTGTTTGGGTGGAATCCCAGATTGTGTACAAGTCCTAGGTCTGGACTTAAAAGTCTATAAACCTTCTGGTCCAAGGGCAAAATTGCAGTCAATAGAGTGGAACTTAGGTGAATTGTCTCTTCACTACTGTGCAGTTATGCTGATTTTCCAGCCCTGTCGACGTGCACCCATTCCTCCACCCTCTCAACAAAAAATTGTTATCCCAAGTAAAACTTTGAAAGTATCAGTCTTCATGGAAACAGTGGAAGAATAAATGGGTCTTTTTTGTGGCCTGATCTAGCAGTTGGTGTGTCACAGAGATCAATGCTGGAGCTTCGACTCTTTACAATTTATATAAATGACTTAAATTAAGGGACTGAAGGCTATGGATGCTAACTTGCTGATAACACAAAGTTAGGTAGGGTAATATGAAGAGGACATCAAGAGGCGACAAAAAGATATAAATAGTTTGTGAGTAGGCAAAGATTTGGCAAATGGCATGTAGTGTGGTAAAATGTCAAACTATTTATTTTGGCAGAAAGAATAAAAAATTATTTAACTGATGAGAGATTGTAAATCTCTGAGATGTAGAGGATCTGGGTGTTCTCATGCATGAATCACAAAAGGTTAGTATGCAGGTACAGTAAGTAATTAGGAAAGCTAAAAGAATGTTTTGTTTATGGCAAGGATCAGTTAAATATAAAAGTAGGGAGATTATGAGACCACATCTGGAGTATTGAGCAGTTTGGTCTCCTTATTTAAAGAAGGATACTAACGTGTTGAAACTGTTTAGAGGTTTACTAGACGAATGCCTGGAATTGGTGGCAAGTGTCTTAGGACAAAAGGTTGGACAGGCCAAGCTTATGTCTGCTAGCACGTAGAAAACTTAAGGATAACTATATTGAAACCTGTAAGATCCTTTTGGCTTCAGATATGTCAGACCTGCTGAGTTTCTCCAGCAATTTCTGTTTTTAAGGTCTTGAGGCATTTTAACAAGATAGATGTGGAAAGGATGTTTCCTCTTCAGAGAGAAGCTAGAACTAAGGCTCACTTTAAAAATAAAGGGTCATCTATTTGAAACAGATGAGAAATAATTGTAGTCATGAGGATCGTGAGTCTTTGGAACACTCTTCGTGAAAAGGTGATGGAAGCAGAATCTTTGAATATTTTTAAGGCAGAGATGCATAGATTCTTGGTAAGCAAGGAGGTGAAACATTATTGGGGGTAAGCAGACGTGCAGTTGAGGTTACAGTTAGATCAACAGGCTTTAGGAACCAAATGACTGACTCCTACTCCTATCTTGTATGTTTAAGGCAATCTACCCCTTCAGGTGAGAATTTTGTAGAGAAGTATTCATTTGAAGTTAGCCATAGCTCCATTTTTCAGCAACAAAATCAATTCTTGAATTTCATTTCTCTGCATGTTGTTTAGGAGGCTGCCTTTATTGCAGTTCCCTAACTGTAGGGCTTTATCTACAGGTGACAGAGGAACTCTTCCTTGACCTTTCCATCATTGAACTACTTACAATCAATGTTGTTACTAATTGCAGGAGCGTTGACTATTCTAAATAATAGAGAATTATCAATTTTACTGCTATTAATAGTTTGCAGTTAAGAGTGGAGAAAGGGAAATAAAACAGAAAGGCAGAAGTATACAGCATGTCCCACAGCATCTTTGCTAGAACTAGAAATTGAAAGATCAAATGAACCTGCCAACAAACCAGATGTGATAAAAATGAGAGAGACACAAGGAGTTATCCAGAATTTTACTTTGAAGTGTTACCCCACTGTTTATTTTAGGTATCTGCTAATACTGGAGCATCATCGATGAGTGGCTACCTTTATAGGTCAAAAGGTATTAAGAAACCATGGAAACGACTCTGGTTTGTCATTCAGGATAAGGTGTTATATACTTATGCTGCCAGTGAGGTAAGAACCTGTCCAGTTATTATATAGATAAATGTTTATTTGTCAGTTAAATGTCTGAGACTGTACCACAGCTAACTTAGGAGAAGGAAAAAAAAATTAGAGTGCAATGGATGATATTATTAGTTTCACATTAACACAACACTGTTTCATAGTAAGGTATTACAGTTTACCTGTTCTTTTCTACAATTAAGTTGTAATGATTATTTTACAAAACTCAACTTTTTTTTGAAGAGCTAATAGGCTATTTGTGCCAGTTTATTACTATATTGACTGTATTGTGTATCAGCCTCTATAGCTGTGTTGGGAGCAATCTTAGAAGTCTGTTTGTATGGCGTGCATTTTTTCCTTTCCACTCAATTTTTTCTCAATGGAAAGATGAGTGTTTAATTCACTTAACTGCAACATTTGAAATGCATTAATACAATGGGAAAGACAGTAGCTGCTGCAGTTTTAAGTGTCCAACTTTATGGCTCCTGACCCCAGCCACTGTGGCACTTAAAGTACAGGCCATACAGTTCTCCTTTACGTTCAAATTTTTTTTATTGCTGTTTTTCTTTTGTTGATTCTTTTGTGATTTGGAAAGAGGCATTGATTTATTAGTGAATAACTTTAAATCATCCATTGGTATTAACAGTCTGTAACATGAAAATTAATGCATGTATTTGAATAGAAACTTGGCAGACTTGTAAACTGTTGAGAAGAACTCCAAAATGAACTTGCATAAGACATTTGTTTGACCCCAGGTGAAGCACTGTGTATAGTTCTGGCCACTATATTATAGGAACGATATGAATATATTGAAGAGTGCAGAAGTGATTTACAGAATTGATTCCAGGGAAGAGAAATTTCAGTTATGAGGGTAGATTAAAGAATTCGGGACCGTTCTCCTTGGAAAGAAGAGGCTGAGGAGATTTGATAGAAATATTCAAAACCATGAGCAGGCTTGATAAGAGTAGATGGTGAGAAACTGTTTCCGTTTGTAAAAGGAACAAGAATGAGAGAGCATAGATTTGAAGTGATTTGGGAAAGAAGCAAAAGTGGTATGAGGAAAAACAAAGCTTTTCACACAGCAAGTGTTTAGGTTATAGAATGCATTGCCTAGAAGTGTGATGGAAGCATTTTCAATTGAGATATTCAAGAGGGCATTACATTATTTGAATGAAAATAATGTAGAAGGCTATGGGGAAAAGGCAGGAGATTGGCACTTGGTACTAATGCTCATTTGAAGAGTTGGTGCAGGTTTGATGAGCTGAATGGCCTCCTTCTGCACTGTAAGACTTCTGTGACTCTGTTATATTCTTTGTGGCCCCCGTGACTGTGAACAAGGACCAATATGGCCCACGAAGCCAAAACTTGAAATAAGTTGCATTAGGTAATCTAGTGATAATTTTATTTTATATGCCTTACCTATTGAAGCTTCTCACAAAAATTATCTCTAATGTCTATTTTTTAAAAACAGGATGTAGCTGCATTAGAGAGCCAACCACTGCTAGGATTCACAGTTTCTGAACTCCAGGATGATCTTTCAGAACCCAAAGTGATTTTCCAGTTGCTTCATAAGAGAACACTGTTTTATGTATTTAAAGCAGATGACCGTCATACTGCCCAAAGGTGAGTAAAACAAGTCATTGTTCGGCAGCAAAAGCTGTAGATGCTAGAACCAGAAAATAGTGAAAATACTCAGCAAGTGAGGCAGCATCTACAGAGAGAGAAAGTGAGTTAACATCTCAGGTCATTAATACTGGTAAATGTGTCACAAGACAAATTCTCCTCTAACATCCTTCAAATAAAGTGTTCTGATTAAAACCTCCTTGACTTTCCTTTTCCTAGGGTTCATGAAACGTTTCCTAATCCAGTATAAGACTTTTCCCTCCTTCATCTTTTTTTTTCTGGTTCATTGTCTACATTGGTATTGCTTCATGCTTTTGTTCTAGGCTGCCAAATTTCATCGACTTTGTTTCATTTTCCATCTTACCTTTACCTTCACATGGTCCATCTCTACATTTCTATTCCCTCCTTCTAATTATCTTTCTTTATCTGGAGGTGGGCTGTCAACAAATATCTACAATAATCTCATGGATTCCTGCTGATACCTTGACTCAACTTCTTCCCACCCTGATTCCTGATAAGAATGTGTTCCTTTCTTGCAGTTTTTCTGCCTTAATTCTACCTCCTCTAAAAATGTTATATAAAAGGCTATAAGACGGAGAGTTCATGGTTTTTTTAAATTCATTCATAGGATTCGGTCACTGCTGGGTTAATAGTTTAGCAAATGAGAGGATTAGCAAACTATCGAAAAAAAAAGCTGAGAAAAATTAGTAATCTTCAACTGTAACTAGTGGGATGCCATAGGGATCAGTGCTGGGGCCTCAACTATTTACAATCTATGTTAATTACCTCAACGAAGGATCCAAATGTGCTGTAGTCCAGTTTATTGACGACATAACAGCAGGTAAGAAAGTAAGTTATGAAGAGAACACAAAAGTCTCCAAAGGGAGATGGATAGATTAAATTAGCAAACCTTTGGCAGTTGAATCTAAAGTGGGATAATTTTTAATCTTTTATTGGATTTGTGTTGCTATCTAAGCCAGCATTTGTTGCCCATCCCTCAGTACCCTTGAAAAAGGCGTTATGAGACATTATCTTGAACCACTGCATTCTATCTGCTGCACGTACACCCACAGCACTACTTGAGGGGTGTTCAAGGATTTTGACTCCGCTACAGTGAAAGAACAGAAATATAGTATCAAGTCAGGATAATGTGTGGCTTGGAGGGTAACTTGCAAGTGGTGATGTTCTAGTGCCTCTTCTTCCCTTGCCCTTGTAGTTAAAAGTAGATAGAAGTCATAAGTTTGTAACATGCTGTCAAAAGAAGCTTTGCAAGTTGCTGCAGTGGATCTTGTAGATGGGTATGTTGGTGAGAAGGATGTGAATGTTTGGTGGTGCATAGGGTGTTGAACTGGCAAACTACTTTGCCTAAATAATGTTGAGCTTCTTGAGTGCTTTTGGAATTGTACTCATCCAGGTAAGAGTATAGTATTCTATCAGACTTCTAATTTGTGACTTGTACATAAAGGGCAGGCTTTGGGAAGCAGGAGGTGAGTTATTCTCTATAGAATTCCCAAACCCTCTTCTCTTATCCACAGCATCTATATGGCTGCCCCATTTCCACTTCTAGTCAGTAGTGTGAATTCAACACTGGTGATGTTCATTATCATGAGGAAATGGTTAAAAAATTTCTTGTTGGAGATGGTCATTGCCTTACACCTGTGTTGCACTGAGTTTACTTGTCACCTATAAGTCAAAGTCTGAATATTGTTTGGGTCTTGCTACTTGTGCATATTGACTGCTTCAGTATCTGAGGAGTTGCAAATGGTTTTGGGAAATTTTGCAATATTTAGCAGAAATGATGATGCAGGGATGGCTATTGATGAAGCAGATAGAAGTGACTGAACCTCAGAAGCTCTGTATCATAGTGTTCTGCAGTTAACCTTTTTACTTATTCATACCTGGCACATAGAAAGATGGTTGTGGTTGTTGGATGACAAGGTGTGGAGCTGGATGGACACAGCAGGCCACGCAGCATCAGAGGGGCAGGAAAGCTGACGTTTCGGGTCTGGACCCTTCTTCAGAAATGGGGGGGGGGGGAAGGGGGCTCTGAAATAAATAGAGAGGGGGAGGCGATGATAGAAGGTGGATAAAGGAGCAGATGGATGGAGAGAAGACATCCCGCCTCCTTGAGGCGGGATGAAGCCAGCACACGTGAGTGTAGGTAGGGAGTTGGGATGGGGGTTGGTCCGTGAGGAGGGAGGGGCGGGTAGGTAGGGAAGACGGACAGGTCAAGGAGGCGGGGATGAGGCTATGGGTAGGAAGTGGGGGTGGAGGTTGGTCAGTGAGGTAGGAGGAGCAGATGGATGGGAGAAAAGATGAACAGGTCAAGGAGGCGGGGATGAGAGGGGCTGGTCTTGGGATGAGGTCGGCCGCCCTCCTCACTGACCAACCCCCAGCCCAACTCCCTACCTACACTCACCATTACTGGCTTCATCCCGCCTCCTTGACCTGCCCATCTTCTCTCCACCTATCTGCTCCCTATCCACCTTCTATCATCGCCTCCCCCTCTCTCTATTTATTTCAGAGCCCCCTTCCCCTCCTCCATTTTTGAAGAAGGGTCCAGACCTGAAACGTCAGCTTTCCTGCTCCTCTGATGCTGCCTGGCCTGTTGTGTTCATCCAGCTCCACACCTTGTTATCTCAGACTCCAGCATCAGCAGTTCCTACTATCTCTCTGTGGTTGTTGGAGGTCAGTCATCTCCAGTCAAGGACATCTCAGCAGCTGTTCCTCAGGTTAGTGTCCTAGGCCCAGCCATCTTCAGCTGCTTCATCACTGACCTTCTCTCTATCATAAGATCAGAAGTATGAAATGTGCAATCATCGGCAGACAATGTTCAACACCATTTGTGATTCAGATGCTGAAGTCATCTAGATTCAAATGCAACAAGATCTGGACAATATCCAGACTTGAGCTGACAAATGGCAAGATACATTCGTACCACACAAATGCCAGGCATTGACCATCTCCAATTAGAGGCAATCTAACCACCTCCCCTTGACATTCAATGGAGTTACTATCACTGAATTCCCCATTATCAATACCCTGGAGTTTACCATGGACCAGAAACTCAACTGGATTCACTACATATACACAGTGGCTATCAGAACAGGTCAGAGGCTAGGAATATTGTGGAAAGCCAACTGATCTCCTGACTCTCGAAAGTCTGCCCACCATCCACAAGGAACAAGTCAGGTGTATGATGGAATTCTCCCCACTTGCCTGAATGGATGCAGCTCCAACAACACTCAACAAGCTTGACACCATCCAGGACAAAGTAGCCCATTTGATTGGCACCATATCCGCAAACATCCACACCGTCCAGCACCAACACTCAGTACACACTGCTGCTATTATCTACAAGATGCACTCCAGAAATTCAACAAAGATCCTTAGACAGCTCCTTCCAAACCCATAACCACCTCCATCTGGAAGGGCAAGGGCAGCAGACACATAGAAACAGTATCACCTGCAAATTCCCCTCCAAGTCACTAACCATCCTGACTTGGAAATAGATCACTGTTCCTTCACTGTTGCTGGGATAGAACCATGTAATTCCCTCCCTAACAATATTGTGGGTCTACTTACAGCACATGGACTGCAGCAGTTCAAGAGGCAGCTCGCTACCTTCTCAAAGGCAACTAGGGATGGGCAATAAATGCTGTCCAGCCAGTGATGCCCACATCCCACAAGTGAATAAATAAGACCAAGTTTATATTTTACAATATTCTGCAAGCTGCCAGATTTTAGCCTGATCAATTAATCTATCTGTATCCCTTTATGACTTCTTGACAACTCATTTTCCTGCCTATCTTTGTGTCATCAGAAAATTTAGCCTACTGTATATTCAGTGCCTTCATCCAAGTTATTGATATAGATTGCAAATTTTTGAGGCCCCAATATTGATCCCTGGCCCACTCGTAAAAGCTTGCCAACTCCACTTACTCCTAATTGTCCATCTCCTGTTAGTGAACCCATCCTCAATCACTGCTCATATGTTACCCCTCTGTTATGGCTTTAAAAGGTGCATTTTGTCCTTTTTTTTATGAAGAAAGGTTGAGAGAGGTGACAAGCAGCCTACTCAGAATCACCAGAGTAAATAGTTTTTTTTAAGTTGCAACAATAGAAGCAGCCTGAATGGGTGGGGTCAAGCCCCCACAGAACCACGATTTTTAGTTTTAGTTTTTCAGTAGCAGCTACTGAGGTCTTGGAGCTGTTTTTCCTGTCTTGGTCACAGCTAAAAGCTGGGGGTTCTCTTCCTGCTGCCAGAATTGCATGTGAGACAAAATCTGTTTTACTGAATTTGCCAAGGGTGTGTTTGTAGGATGTTACTATATTGGAATAGTTACTGTTTAGTAGCTAAATAATCTATTATTCTGTTAAGTTTTCCAATAGAGTTAATGATTCAATTTCTTTCTTTTGTTGTATTTTAACCATAATGTACGAATAAGGTGATTTTACATCAAATCTAATAGTTTGATCAATCGAATTATCCAGAACTCAACTGCCTGGCCCTTGCCTGTAAAATAAGAAAAATTAGGGTCTAGGCCAACTTTTTAATATATTTTGAAGGGGGGGATTGGTCTGGTCCATAATACCTTATACTACGAGCATTTATTTATTTTGTGTAGTAACCTTTTGTTGGGGCATCTTATCCAAGCATAATACATCTCCAAGTTTCCTGTTATGTACTTTGCTTGCTATTTCCACAAAGCACTTATAAGGAATTAGTCAAATGTCATTTCCCTTTCAAAAAAAATCATGTTGTCCCTGTTTGATTGTACTATGATTTTTAAATGTTTAGCTATTACCTCAGTGATTGATTCTAGTATTTTCCCTTTACAGATGTTTCGGCTAACTGATCTTATGTTCTCCTGCTCTTTATCTCTCCTTTCTTGAATGCCGGTATTTGCGTTAGCAGTTTTCCAAACTGCTTTCCAATGCATCTGTATCTCAACAGCTATTTCATATAAGATTCTAGGATCCAGGCCATCACATCCAGGGGGCTTATCAGTCATTGTTTCTGATATTTTTCCCATAACATTTCTCTCATAATTTGTGGTTGTTTTAAGTTCCTTTCTCCCTTTTAACCTCTTGATTTTCAAATATTCTTAGGATGCTTTTTGTGTCTTCTACAATGAAGACAGACATAAAATGCCTGTTCAGTACTTCATCTTATCTTTGTTTTCCATTATTAATTTCTCAGTTTGACCCTCTGTGGGACCAGCATTCACTGCAGCTGCTCTTTTCCTTTTTAAATACTTATAGAAACACGCACCTTATTTTAAAATAATTCTGTCAAGCTTTCTCTCATACTCTAATTTCTTCCAAATTATTTTCAATCATTCTTTGCTGTTTTCTAAAATCTGTCCAATCTTCTGACCTACCCATAAGTTTTGCAGCACTGTACACTTTTACTTTAAATTTAATACTGTCGTTCACTCCCTACTTAGTCAGAGTGCATCGTTCTCTTGGAGCCTTTCTTTGTCAATAGAATGTATCTTGGCTGAGAATTATGAAACGTTTCCTTAAATGCCTGACATTGCTTCTCAACAGACCTATCTTTTAACCTGTTCTCCCAGTTCACTTTAGCCAATGTTGTTCTTGTACCCTTGTAATTGCCTTTATTTAAGATTAAGACACTAGTCTTAGACCTACACCAAGCTCAGTGTGAAATTCTGTTATGATCACTGTTGCCGAGAGGCTGTAATTACTATGAGATAGTGAACTAATTTCATCTCATTGCATATTGCAAGGTCTAAAATTTCCTGCTTCCTGGTTGACAGTAGGAATGTGAAAGACATTTTATGGGAAAAAAATACTGTCATAAGTACTCTATGAATTTATAAAGCTTTTTTGCCATTCTGATTAAGATTATGAAGATTGCCAGTTATTTTTACCATATCTTGAAGGCCTGTATAGTCTGCCCAACAGTGTACAATTACTGTAGTTTATAGTAATATAAACTATACTATTATAGTAGTTACTATAATCTACTCCCACAAGTGATTTTTTTGCTATTTCTTATCTCTATCCAAACTGACTGTATAATGTGATTTTGTGAACTGTGGTCATCTCTGATTATTGGACTAATTTCATTCTTAATTAATCTAAAGAAATGTGCTCCTAAGTTACCAAGCAGATGAAACTTATTTGTTTCTGCACTTGTTTGAAATTATAGGAGATTGCTTTGTACATAAAATTCTGAGACATGACAGATACAATAATTAACAAATGTTCCAAATTTCTCAACAGATGGGTAGAAGTTTTTCAAGAAGCTACTGTGTTATAACACTCCTAAAACAGTCACTACACCAGGGGAGGACTTTGAGAAGCAACTCCATGAAAAATATACCACACTGAGAATGCTAGAGTATGGTGTTGATATTGCAAAAAGATTGAATAAAAATATTCATATTCACACCTTAATCTCCTGTGACTAGAGATTCATCTTGAATATCAGAATGAACTGCAAAGATTCTGCACCAGCCACAAAAGCTATCCATGTACTCTCAGATGTTGCCTGGAAAAGGCCTTGAAGTTGAAAAGTTGACCAAAGTCATTGACTAATTTAATTGCCTTTTGGTGACAATGAAAGCAAGAATTAATCAAGCTCTATTCTTTCAGTCTGGCTATTTTCTCATCTCCCAAAAAGATTTCCATGATGGTGTATTTCTGTGCTACATTTCTCAAATGTGATGGAATGGTTTCAGTATAAAACTGTGAAAATCACCACATTACTATTGATGTAAAGGCCCACCTTGACCTCTCCAGTTTAATCATGGATTATTGAATTGACATGTTCAATCTCTTGAAGACCTCCACATTCAGAAGTGATTTGTGAATACCTCAAATTTCCATGAGGTAAATTCAGTACCTCACTTGGTACTCAACTTTGTAGACCACAAAGGTCTAGTTTGTGCAGATATAGTTGATTTTATCTGGGGTCACTATTGGCCTGAATACCTATGCTTTGGAGAAAGGAAGGAATAGTTTTCTGATTCCGCTCATCACTGCCCATTGACCCGAATAGATAGTACCTACCTGGACACCAAACCTGGTATTGATTTATGAAGACTAAATTCCTGAAACAACCAAGTGAGCATATGGTGATTCACTGAAGGACTGCTAGTGTCCATGATGCTGCATTGAGAAGGAGCTGGTGCTTCAGAAAAAGGAAGAGAAGAAAATTGGACAAAATGTTGCTATTTGGTTCATGACTTACAAACTTTGAGATACAAACGAAGTAATTTGGTAGCCTGAGACAACTGTATATATAAACAGGTTGACATGAGATATTGTTGGAAGCAAGTAGTCTTTGATGATTCCAATATTCTTGTCTGGTTTTCACGGCATTAATTTCAATACTAGATAGTTCTCATGATTTTCCAGGTTTATCAGAATGTGCGCTTATATTTTTCAAAATGTTATGGTGGGAACAGGGCTGTTAAATGCTGCCCAATTTTCCAATATATTTTAACATTATTGTTTCTATTTAATATTTGGCTTTTGTAAAAAAGAATGACGACGAGATAGTTCAGCAAGGATTTATACATGCAGGCATGAGCTAGATTTATGTATTTATTTAACTATTGTAATGAGCATCTATGGTTCTTCATGGAGCACAACAGACATCACATAGAATTTAAAGTGCAAATTAATGTAAAATATGCCTGTTCTTCCAGTACTAACTTTTTATAAGTATGTAGAAAGTTGAATGTAAACTAGCATTTGGGATAAATATGGCCTGGTGAATCTAAATGCAGGGACTCTGATTTTCACACCGTGTAGGATTCCTTTCAATGGGTGAGGGAAACAATTCCCTTGTTTAAAAAAACTCTACAAAATGCTGAATCTGTACGTTCATTGATGATGGCCAGAAATGTCTTTCAAAAGACCAGGTATGAAATTGCTTACATCCAATTTCACAAATAATGCTACTATTTGCTTGAGTACTTCTGTAGAGAAGAAGAATCAGCTTGGATTTTCATTTGAAAGAGTTGAGTCAGAAGGTTGTGGATTCAGAATTCCACTTGAGACTTGAGATAATATCAAGTCTGCTGCTTTAACGGAGATGCCAGCTTTTTGTTGAGACATTGAACTGACACTCCTAACTGTTTAGGTGAATATAAAAACAAATTTCGTAGCTTTGCTTTGAAGAAGATCTGGCAAATGCTGGTCCATCAGACATCAACACTAATTGATAAATTACTTAGTCATTCATCTCATTTGCAGCCAGCAAAATTATTTGTGTGAATTGGATTTGTCTCTTATTAGGATATTTATCTGCTGCTGAGGATATGATGAAGCACCATTTAAAGTTAAACTCTTAAAGCAATTCCAGCGTATTGGCCTTGACAACCTTGCCTAGAGTGCATTGATTGTTTTCTGTGAAGAACTTGCTGATATCAGTTATAAATTTGTCTTTTACTGGTTTTCATCTATATCCACTACAGTTTAAATCTACCTTTTCTACAATTTGTTTTTGATTTGTCTCTGTGAAGTGCCTTAGGACATTTTTCTACATTAAAGGTGCTATATAAATGCGAGGTGTTATTTACTGTCTTAAATAGCTCTGTAAGGCCACATCTCAGTCATCTCCCTTCAAAGTAGAGCATGAGATTTTGCCAGTATTCTAGCATAATGAGGAATCAGAGCTTTTTAAATCCCTAAATTGCGTCCGTTCTTTGTGTTTCTGGCCAATATTGTCAGGACTGACCACAGCACCATGCTGTTAAAGATTGACTTTTTTCGGTCTTCAGTATAAAATCTCTGTCCGAACAATTCCACATTGTTTGACCTTTTTTCAAAAACTTCACACAATCATACAGTACACAAGAAGTCTACGTAGCCTTTTTGCAACTTCATGATGCTGCTATAACTCAGCAAAATCTGAGGGCACTGATCAGAGTTCTGATTTCTTGACCTGTGGATTAAGGATTCTGTTGAAGAGCAAGCAAATATTGTACAGTTGTACTAATCTTTTAAATTTAGCTTTTCAGGATGGGGGAATGCATTTCCACATTAAGGCCTTTGTATTCTTCTTGTAAACCACAGCACAATTCCACATGAATCAGTACTGCTGTTCTTTCTGCCTCTGTATATTCATGTATGCCTAGGACAAACTTGTCCAAACAACAGTAGCATTAAAGTTTGCGACATTTAAGTTGCTATATAACTGTAAGAACCACATGCAACAGCCTCCCACTCCCATACTGTTGTCCCTGTATCTTCCAAGGATTGCCTCCTATTTCTTAACCACATGCTATCCTATGTGGCAAAATTTGAAAATATAACCTTGGTTTCAAAATGTATGGTGACAAGACACTGCTACACTCATCATCTTTCTTAAGCCCGCCACTCTCTAAATGTCAAGCAGAATTTACTATGATTACATCATGGGAAGATCCAAAGCCATTGTCCTCCTGTTCCCAGCCACTGACTCCATTTCTTGCTTTCAACTGTCTGAGAATGAACTAGACTGCTTATAACCTTGATGTCACATCTGACCTCACGAGCTGACCCTACATTGTCAGGCACACCGTTTGCACCTCCATAACATTGCTCAACTCTGCCTGAATCACTGAACTTCTCATCCATGCCTCAACTTTCCAGTGCACCCCTGGCTGCCCTCCAGCTGCACCTCCCATGAACGTAAGATCATCTAAAATTGTGCTGCTTATAACCTTACTTGCACAAAGTCCCATTTATCCTTCACCCCTATGCTTAATGCTAAAACAGTATGGTTAATGGCACAATGTTAGAATTGTCATCCTTGTTTACAAATTTTTTTTGCATTCCCTCCACTGTTGTCTGTAACTTTCTCCAGCCTTGCAACCCTCCAAGAAATCCATGCTCCTTCAATTCTGACCTTCTGCACATTAGTTTTTAATTATTCCAACACGAATGGCCATACCTTCAGCGAAACCCAAGTACTGGAATTCCCTCCCCTAAGTTGCTCTCCCTCACTTGCTTTGATGAGAAGCTGTTTGAACTTATCTTATGATCATCTATCCAAATAACTCCTGAATGGAGAGTGTCATTTTTTGTTTTATAATGCTTCTGTGATGCACCTTTTGATGTTTCACTATGTTTAAAGTTCTGTATATACATGTGCTTTGTTGTATATAAGCACACTGTGTCACCCTTGTTGCTGTTATTTGGACAAGTTAAATTTGATTTAGGACCTTGCAGTGTTTGATGCTGACCTCGGTGCCCAAAATATTAGAAATGTTCTATAATTGAGCATTGATACCCTACACTTATTAAATACAAATTGAGGCTGAAGCATCAAAATCTTTCTTTTCAATGTATTTATGTACTAACCCTAGAAACTGGGATAGTGTGCCACTATCTTTATGGTGTAAAGTGAATGGGATAACCTGGTAGTTTCTGTCCATGCCTTCATCACTAGAGTTCATTTTATACTCATTTTCCCATTTTTAACAAAGGTTTGTGGAATGAACAACCTTTTATTAATTCCTGACATATGGGCATTGATGGAAAAGCATGTATTCACTGTCCATTGCTACTCATCTTGGGAAGGGGTGGTAGGTGTAATAGCAGTTTGATTCAACTGAGCTGCTTGTTAAAGTGCTTGCAGAGAGCAGGAAAAATCCAGCATGATGGTGTAGGACTGAGGTCACAGATCAGATGAGGATAGCATGTCTCCTTTCTTCAAGGAGTGACTTGAAAGTTTTACAACAGTCCAATAGCTTTTCATAGTCACAATTATTGATATCAGCTTTTTATTTCAAACAGCTATTGTTGGACTTGAACTTGTTTTCTGGATTAGTATCCTGGCCTCTGAATTAATAGGTCACTAACATAACCATTGCAATACTCACAGGATCCACCTTTCACTGCAAACATTTTTATTGCATGCATGAAGGTTCAACATTTTTGCTTTATTCTGCTGCCCAATAGGCTTTCCCTATAAAAATGTGAGTGAGTGAATGCTCTAAATAATATGTATCAAAACAGATACGTCTGTCTTTGTATCCTCATCTGTGGTTCTCATCACCTGCTCTTTTCCCATTGGCTAATAAATGTTTTCTTTTAAATATTTAATTTGACGAGTTCATCAAATCATTAAGAGTACAGAAGAGGCCTACAATCCATCAAATCTATACTGCCAAAGTGATACTAAACCCACAAAAGTCACACCTTCCAGCACTAGGCCCCTTACACTTGAATGTTATGAAATTTCAAGTACTCATTAAAGTACTTTATAAAGGTTGGTAGGTTTCCCATTTCAACTACCCTCCCAGGTGAGTGAATTCCAGATTCTCACCACTCTGAGTGAAAAACTGTTTCCTCAAATTCCTTCTAAAGTTCCTGTCTTTCATCTTAAAATTATGTCCCCTTTGACTAAGGGGAATAGCTGATTTCTATGTCCATGACCCTCATACTCTTACACACCTCTACCAGGTTCCCCCTTCAATCCCTGCTCCAAAAAAAACCCCTAAACTTGTCCAGTATTTCTTTACAGTCAAAGCACTTCATCCCAGGCAACATCCTGATGAATCTCCTTTGCAACCTCTCCAGTC